CATGTTTTTCGTGGATCAGGTTCCAGTGGATAGTCAAAAACTAATATTGATTTGTTATGTTATATTATATTAATATATGATCTATTAATTATTTATGTTCATTTTAAATTTAATTATAAGTTTAGTTTGGGAGAATTCGTTTTGATTGCATGTATATATTAATATTTGTAAAACATTTTTTATATATTGTTTAATATTTTTAAACGACTTTTGTAGTTTTTAATGTTGTTATCGTTTTTAATGCACTAATTTACTTTTTAACAATATTGTACTTTTCTAAATAACATTTGAATTTATTTTTACATCTCAATTCATCAGTTTTTAATGTTTGTAATATAATATATATTTTAATATATTAGAGTTTGTTTAAATCAAATTCCTTTGAACATTTTAGAGAAGTCCATATTATACCATACCGTTCTTGTATTAACAAATCAGGTTTGAAAAGTTATGTTGCTAAACAAAGGTTTTAACATTTAAATTTAGACAAATTTAATCTCTTTAAAATATAATTTTAATTTCATAAATAAAAATAAAAATATATAAAATGAAATTCTTAACTATTCTTCAAATATTAATATCTGTTATCATTTAATTCTAAAAAAAATCATCAATAAATATCATAATACCCGATTAATTAATAAGCGCATATATAAATTACTCATATCCATTATATATATATATATCTATATATATATATAATACATATATTTTATAAATATCTTTTGCCTTTTTACTATTTTAGAGTCTAGATTTTGATGAATATAGATATGCTTAATCAACGGGCCTCATAAAGATCTATCGGGCCTATTCTCTGTCAAATCAACATATTCTTAACACTTTCTATCTGCACCTCCTTGTTTTCTTGCTTCACCCCATAATGCGGAAAATATTATTTGATCATCCTCAACTCCCGTATCTCCTCCATCCTCAGCCAGAAATTTATTTCAAATGGACTAATCCAGAACTTTTTATGGATAGTGTAACTCGGAAAATTTACAGCACAAAATAATCTACATTATAATTTTCTACTTTTCGAATTATTCAATATACGGTTTGACTTTTTTGTGAATAATTAAGAGGAGCTAAGTGATTGAAGTGGAGTTAAATAATATATTATTAATAAATAACAAATAAATATAAAAGAAGAAAGAAAGAAGATGAAAGGGTGAAAAGATAAAATTCTATAATATACTTAAATATATAAAATGATCATTAAGTTTGAAACAAAATTATAAATTATATAAGAGTTACAAAATCGAGAAATGGTTGAGAAGATAAAATTGTAAATACACAAATAAATATATTAAATGTTCATTATGTTTGAGGGACCAAAATCATCAACTACATCAAAGTTACAAAATTTTAGAGAGACCATTACCTCCCTCAACTCCTAAGAAGATCCGCGCTTGATCTTTATTAACAAGTTTTGGTTTACCACCAAATCAGCTACAATATTCAACATATTTGAGTAATGATACGATAGATATATAATGTGTTAATTGGAGTTACAATTATACGTTACCGCAATCATTAGGGCACTCCACTTTCTGGTTCTTGGTGTGAGCTTAGAATATAAAAAGAATGAAACCATGACATTATTCATGTAAGTGCGCCGAGGCACAACACCATCTAATGCAGATTGATGATCTAAGTCTATGCTGCACCAATTTTGCAAGTGCAGAACCATTCAACCTCATCTATTATTGTATATAGCCATGAAAGAGACACACACAGTTACAATATTCTCTTGCAAGTTGCATTTCTTTTCATTATACTCTTCCCTATAAAAGGACCTTTGGAAATCCAACCCCGAGATAATTATTTTCTAAGTACTCTTTTTATTAGAATGTAACCTTCATTAATGGTAGGGAATTTAAATGTTTTGAGAAGGTTTTGGAAAATGAAGAAAAGACTAAATACAATATGAAATATTTGCATAATAATTATATTTATGACTTAGTTAAGTTCTCTAAGGACAAAATGATTTTGGAGAACTAGTATATTCACATTCAAGCATAAGTAATATTGTACATCTTAAAGTACAAAAGTCATAGTAGTGATGAAATGTTTTAAATATAGATAATGTATTGATTTTAATAAGACTTTTTTACCTAATTATGCTAAGTTTAAAGATTATTCTTGATTTGGAGGTTGAGCAATAAATGTGAAAATAATTTATCTTTTTCATAGTAATTTAGAGGAAGAAATTTACATGAAAAAAATTTAATAATTTTTTTGTTGAAGAAAAGAATGATTATTTATAAAGGCTGAAAAATACTTTATATGGTTTGATGTATGCTCTAAGACAAGTATTATAAAAAATTTGAGTCCTTATATATAATCAAGATTATAAAAAGATAACTTTTAACCATTGTGTTTTTGTTAGAATGTTTTTTGATGATGAATTTATTAATAACTTATTTATTGTTGGGAAAAATATTGTCATAAAAGACTTAAGAGTTGCTACAAATATTATTAATATAACTATCATGCATGATGGAAAAGAAAAGAAGTTTTGACTATCATAGAAACACTATATTAAAAATGTTTTGTAGAGATTTCGTATATAAAATGTTAAAGTAATGAACATAATTCTTATAATTTATTTTAAATTGAATGTTAAATAAAAAAATTTAAATGAAGTTGAGAAGATAAGGAAGAACAAAATTGTTTATGCATTTGTAGGAAGTAGTTTAGTGTATACAATGGTATTTACCGGACTAGATGTTATATATATTGTTGGTATAGTCAGTTGATTTTTGTCAAATCCAAGTAGAAAATATTAAAATCTTGTAAAATGAATTTTGAGGTATTTTTGCTATTCTAGTAGTTTAAGGCTTTATGTTTAGAGGTAGTGTGAGTTACTTAGAGTAAGATATGATTGAAGATATTGATTTTAGAGAATCCACTTTAAATTATTTGATTAAGTTTATAATGAGAGTTGTGACGTGACAACCAAAGGTATTGTCACGCTACAAAGGTGTGTAACCTTATCTACTATAGATGCAAAATTTATTGTCATTATTAAAATAAAAAATCTTTTATGGTTAAAGAAATTGTGGATAGTCAAATTGTTGTTCCTCTTGATAAAAATTTAACTTTTCATTTTATATCTACACATATTGATGTGAGCTATTATTAATTAAATATATGATACTTTAGATATGATTAAGTTTTGGAGTTAAAAAAATTTATATTAATAATAATGATACTTATGATTAAGATACTATCGAAGTGAAAACATATAATTTGTAATGAGATTATTGATTAACTCGGATGTCTCTTTTCTAACTAAGGAATTAGAAAAAGTTCAAATTTGTTTAGTTTAATTTTTCTATTTAATATAAGTGGACAAGGATGTTCTCAATTATTAGAGAGTGTTATTTTTGCATCTCCTAGGAGAGAGAAAGATGTAAAAATTATTTTAAATTTGGTAAAATTGTAATCCCAAATTTGTCTACCGTTTGATCAAACTGAACATTAAGACAATATCATATGGTGTTATATATTTTGATAATTGGAATCGTGGATTGAGAATTTCTAGTGGAAGAAATTAGTTCTGCACAATTATTCTGTTAGTGAGGTTTCTTTTTCTTTTAGTTTTTAATTTGAAAGTTTTATTGTTTTAACATATTTATTGGTTGTAAACATGTATTTCTGCTTTTCATAAATTCTTTGTACTCTTTATTTGATGTTAGTAGAGTAGAATTTAATTAATGGATCTAATTTCATGGTTTTTTTTCTTAGAGATAATTTTTTTACGTTAAAATATTTGTGCCTCTTTACAAGATATATATAGTTACCATTATTTATAGTTACTTCTCGTTCTTTCTTGCAAGTTAGAGAAATAATTTCCATTATCTTTTACAAATTTTTCATCCTCAATAAATAATAAAAGGAATATATAGTAAAATGGTAAATAAATTAGGATATATTAAATAATGGACTAAATATGTTTTAAATTTTTTTTTCTAAAAATGAATTTCTGTTCTTATATTTTAACATCTAACAAACTAATTCTCAAATTAAAAAAATATATAAATCTATAATTCTTTAATCAAGGTCATAATAAGAAAAATTATTATTAAATATCAAATTTAAATATAAAGAATGATTAAAATAAATTTTAATCTTTTAATAATTTATGTTAAAATAAAAATTATAAATAATAAATTTAAATATAAAAGAGGATTAAAATTATGTATTGATCGATCAAGTTGATACATTTAAAAATATAAAAAATAAAAAGCAATTATACGACAAATCCGAAACTAAAAACATATTTGTTGTCCTTAAATAATCTTGGAGATAATATATTAAAATGATTGTTCATAATATGAGTAAGAACAGATAAAATAAAAAATAAAGATCCATGTTTAATGTTTAAAAAAGAGAAATACGAGAAGATGTAACGTGTATCTAACTCATGGGTTAGTTTTCTTAGACAACCCACAGCACTATTTAATATAGACTATATAATTACTAATATTAGTGGCCAAACTCTTTCTTTAGTTGACTTTGAAGTCAATTATCACACGCACCGTCACTGTCTTCTACATCATCAAGTATTCATTTATAAAATTTTAAGACCAGTTCAAGGTTGTAATGGTAAATAACAATTGTTTTTTCCATCCTTACTGAAAAACTCAAAGCTCCTCTGTGATCTCCATCAATAATTCAGTTTTTGCCGTAGAAAAGAAAGGATCTGCAATTCCATCTTCTTCTCCTCCTCCTTTCAACTTCTTCTGCATATACTCTTTCTCTTTCATGAAGTCCTTGTTTTCTTCCACTTCATTTCTAGCTCTCTATTTGTTTCCGTGTAGAGACAAGGAAAGATCCAGCCATCACTTCTTCCTATCCAACACCATACTTTATTTGTCCCACTTTTTTTGGCAATCAATATGTTCTATTTCTTTGTCCCCTTTTTACTTCTTTGTATGTTGTTTTTGTTTATCTTTAGGTTATTTGGAAAGCAGAAGGTTGCAGAGGAGAAACCCATGTCAGAAAACAACGCTCCTGAAATAAAGTATGATGTCTTTGTTAGCTTCAGGGGCGAAATCCGTAAAGGACTTCTTAGCCATTTGACTGACGCATTTAAAACCAAGAAAATAAATGCATTTGTAGATGATAAACTTGAGAAGGGAGAAGACATATGGCCATCACTTGTTGCAGCTATTGAAAGATCAGCCATTTTGTTGATCATCTTCTCACCCGACTATGCCTCTTCTCCCTGGTGTTTAAAAGAAGTTGCCAAAATAATTGAATGCCAAGAGAAATATGGACGCACTGTAATTCCTGTTTTCTACAATATAGAACCCACACACGTAAAACATCAATCAGGGAGTTACCAAGAAGCATTTGCTGAGCATGCAACAAAACATGAGACCGAGCAACAACTCTGGAGACGTGTTTTAGATAAATCTGCTGGTTTCTCTGGAATTGAATCTACAAATTTTCAGTAAGCGCTTTTCTTGCTGTTGTATATTTATATGCATATTATAATAATAACGAGGTTGGTTAACTTGAAAAATCCCTTTTATTTTTAACATACACTTCATCTCTCTGTATATATGGTAGAAATGATGCCGGGATGGTTAAAGTAATTGCCACTGTTGTACTGGAGAAGTTGAAGAGATTGGATAAACCCCTTGTTGACTTAAAAGGACTTGTTGGAATTGTTGAAAAAATTGCTACTCTGGAATCATGGTTAAGTAATGAGCCAAAAGATACTCGTCTTATTGGAATTTGGGGTATGGGCGGTATCGGTAAGACAACCCTCGCCGACGTAGTGTTTAATAAACTTCGATCTCAATATGATGGATCTTACTTCTTAGCCAATGAAAGAGATCAGTCAAACAAACATGGAATAACTCCTTTGAGGAAAATTATATTTTCTAAACTGTTAGGAGAGGAAGTGGATATTGACACACCAAATTCTTTGCCTGAAAATATTGTTAGAAGAATTGGTTGTATGAAGGTTCTTGTTGTTCTTGACGATGTTAATGATTCAGATCACATAGAAAAACTGTTGGGAAATCTCGAAAATTTTGGAAGAGGTAGTACAGTCATTGTAACAACTAGAGATGAACAAGTTCTCAGGATTAACAATGTGAGTGAGACATACAAGCTGAAAGAATTTAATTCTGTTGAAGCACTTGATCTTTTCAACTTGAATGCCTTTAGAGAAAGTGATCAGGAGAGGGGGGAATACAATGAGATATCGAACTTGGTAGTCAATTATGCCCAAGGCAATCCATTAGTTGTTAAAGTTTTGGCTCATCTTCTTCGTGGAAGAAGTAAGGAAGAATGGAAAAGTTTGTTAAGCAAGCTTAAAAGAATGCCTCCAAAAGAAGTTTATGATGTAATGAAATTGAGTTATGACAGTCTAGATCGTAAAGGGCAACAGATATTTCTAGATTTGGCGTGTTTCTTTCTTAGATTGAATGTACCAGTGAAAGTGGGTGATCTAAAATATTTGTTGAAAGACAATGAAAGTGATGATTCAGTGGCTTTTGAGTTAAGAAGACTGGAGTGTTAGTATTATGATGCTTGATTTA